ATTAAGACGTGTAAACTCTCACAAAAACTCTTGAAAAGGTACTAAGGTATGTAGCAAAGATTAATGTCCGAATTAAGATGTTAAACTTTGTAGCCAGCTTATTGGAAGGGAATCTACCATGAGACAGGGATAGAAAAGTACTTGATCACAATGTACCAAATACTTGGGTGGAATTTGGAACCTCAAATGAGTCACATACTTGTGAGAAGGTTCCCATGTCTTGTACTAGTGGTCAGAGGCCACACAGGTAGAGAAGGCAATGTGTAGACATCATTAAATGTGTAATCCATCCTTATTATGATGTGATCCAGCGTACTGGTAATTTTTTCCTGATATTTACCAGTACGCTGGTAAATCAGTATTAATCCTGATAATCTACATTAATCCTGATATGATTAATGTGGTAACTGGTCAAATTCCTAAACCTAGTTTCACAAATCTATCCTATAAGGATATGTATATGTATGTTATATAATCCTATAGGCATTTATCGTCGCATGATGGGCCTAAATCACAATCCAGGAGACCAATCTCATGAAATTGCATACGAGAAATAACGAATTCAGTTGCAACTTTACGCCACTGCAAGTGGTGAGAGCGCGGTTCTTGACGACCAAACAGCAACAAACTACCACAACACTACCAAGACAGTCGTGTATTCCTTGTACCACACTGTGTTTCTTCTTCCTCTCTCTCCTGTCACTTGTTACCTTTGTGCCTGGGAACTAAATTTGACTCCTGTCAGATTCGGCTGCTTCCATTCCGTCGCAGAGGTATTCGCTGCTCTCTGGAGCTCCAGGGAGGTAGTCGTTGCCCCTGAAAATATACCAATTGATTGAATGCCAAGAGGCGAGGCCCAGGAGCTAGTAGTTAACCCCCGGAAAAAAACACTATGAGGACGTGCCTGAAGGGGAGAACTCCGGCAATATATATATTGGAAACCAAACCGTTAAAAACTAACTCGAAGTGAAAACCAGAATTCCATAAACCTTTCCCAACCCACGGGGGAAAAAAATATATTGAAATAAAAGAGAAAGAAAACACAGGAGAGTATTTCCGCGCCTGACTCGCGTCAACAAGAGAGTCCGGACCAAAGCTCGTCCTTTGTCAAGGTAAATTGGTTGTGTGAGCTGCAACAGCGGACCGGAACACACCCATGACATATTGACGTGTGTAGGCCAGAGTGCCAGAGTACTCTGGTACTCTGGCCCAATACCAGAGTACCACACAGTAGTCAGGCCTCCTGGGACCCCGTACTGCTGTCTTCGCTCCTGTGTCAATTGCAAACTCGAACCATGGTCGAAGGCGTTCAAAAACGACACACAACACCTTTGGTGTCAAAATATACATTTAGAACCCATGACTAATCGGATTCAAATTAGTCAAGGGACCAGATTCAGGCGCACTCAGTAGGGTCCTGTTTTCTGTGTTGCTTATGCCTGCATGGAGGAGAGGTCGCGTGTCTAAGTGGAGTTGGGCTCCAATACTTGGAGTGGAGCTCCAATACTTGGAGTGGACCTCCACTCCAAGTAGTGGAGCCTGTGACAGCCAAGACCCAGGCTCCACTACTCCATAATCATTAAAAATACATTTGCTGTTTCATGCTATTGTAAGTTTCATTTTGATACGTTCATCGGAATGAAGCCTTCAGATCTTTCATAATATCATAAGAATAACTAAAGCCTACTGGGCCATGCGAGACAGCTCCTATTTGCTCTGAACCAAACTCATTTATATATTATGTCTAACCATATGTCTAATGGGATCCGGCCGGCCGAGCGGACAGCACGCTGGGCACGTGATCCTGTGGTCCCGGGTTCGATCCCGGACGCCGGCGAGAAACGATGGGCAGTTTCTTTCACCCTATGCCCCTGTTACCTAGCAGTAAATAGGTACCTGGGAGTTAGTCAGCTGTCACGGGCTGCTTCCTGAGGGGTGGAGGCCTGGTCGAGGACCGGGCCGCGGGGACAATAAAGCCCCGAAATCAACTCAAGATAACCTTCGCTTGAAACAACCCAATGATCCCATGTCTAAGATATTACCCGGTAATTTGGTCCATAAATCAGTAAGCCTACCCCCAAACCTCCATTTATCGTAGTCTTTTCTAAATCTAAACTTAGATTTAGAAAATTAAATAAACTAAACTTTTCTAAACTCTAAACTAAATCTAAATTTTGTATCCATTGTTCTACATTGTGTTGTAATGATGATTTAATGCAGGTCGGCGTTCGATCCCCGACCGTCCACAAGTGGTTGGGCACCATTCCTTCCCCCCGTCCCATCCCAAATCCTTATCCTGACCCCTTCCCAGTGCTATATATTCGTAATGGCTTGGTGCTTTCCCCTGATAATTCCCTCCCCCTCCCCAGTTGTGTAATTCATTCACATCCCTCTCTATATCGTTTATTCAGAACGTAAATTAAGTTCTGAATAAACTTAATCTCTTAAGAGATTTACTTAATTCTCTTAATAGTTCTTTATAAAGGAGTTTTCTAATTCCTGGGATAAACGTTTGTCTTCCTTCTCTGGACGCGATTAAGGGAATTTATGTCTCTTTTTATGAATTTTTTGGTCCTTTCTTTACTACAGAGACCACAACTGATCAAGAGAAAAAATGAATAACATTAGATACTTTATTACTAACCAATCTAGATAGGAATCCCAGTATTTTATTTGGGTTATTAAGAAAACTTATACATTCATTTCTTTGGCTTAAGTTCCTAAATATGACTCAAATGCCTTTTTCTTGTTTTTTGCATTCAGATTTGGCAATTTCAGCATTGTCCACATGATATCTGGTAAATATATCAGGATCTAGGGTCAGAACCCTACCTTGGTCAGCATTAAACTACGTTTGCCAAACTCTTCGTTCGTTTTGAAAGCCTCTACAATTGTTTGTAGCGATTTTGAATTTTGTTCCGCAGATCAAATCTTCCTTACACATCTATTCATGGAATTATGCAGCAGGTCTGTCAAACTTGTAAGCATAAGTTACCTCAATTTTAAGCCCTGATCAAGGGTGTTATTATTTAACTGAAATATATAATATTGTATCACCGTGGAGGAGGGGTGACCTGCTGCATGGGTAACAGCTTCTCTGTATCAACCTACCGTGGCTTTGCGCCCTGGAGAGGCCACTCCATACCGACAACCAGAGCGCAAGGTCTCAGGAGACCATAGTCTCCTGAGACTGATGGATGCCCACTACTTATCACCAGCAAAATATAATTATTTTTCTTTAAATTTACAAACATAATTTATATGCAATATGAAGAAATAGATCTTAGAATTAACTCCTGAGGTAACTGTAGCTTTTATATTTGATCGAAGATGCTATACACAAAGCCACACTTGTCTCAAGTAGTTTAGGAAAATGTGCTGTTAAGTTCAGAGACCAGATTCACGAAGCAGTTACGCAAGCACTTACAAACGTGTACATCTTTCCTCAATCTTTGACAGCTTTGGTTACATTTATTAAGCAGTTTACAAGCATGAAAACTTGCCAATCAACTTTTGTTATTGTTATAAACAGCCTCCTGATGCTTCGGAGCTCATTAACTGCTTATTAATTGTAAATAAAGCCGTCAAAGATTGAGAAAAGATGTACAGGTTCATAAATGCTTGCGTAACTACTTCGTGAATCTGGCCCCAGGGCTTTAGCGACTACGGAAATCTGACAAATTTTATGCAAACTTAACCTACTCTTTTCAGCAGTGGTATGCAGCCCTTCACTCAACCTATTAACTATCTATTACATTCTGTATATAATATAATTAATTTACTATGTGCTTTTACACAGTTTTATTAGAGCTTAACATTAACTTTTATTTAGCAAATTATCACATAAACATAGTTATATATTTTTCATAAAACTGTAGTGATTTCCAAAGTAATAAAAGATATAGATTTTTTTTCAGAGGATGAACTATTTTAAAACGTTCATATAATGGTATATAAAACACTTATGAAGGCAGTTTCCTCAGAAGGTTTCGCCCCTTACCATGGTCTTAATGGCTTGCAGTCACGTGTCTTTGAAACTGTCCTCATATATTGCTGATTTTTATCATAATAAACTGGAATTTTACCTGCTATATAAACCCTCTTTAAAGACGTCAATAATATATTTATTTAATGTATTTGTCTTTTGCACTTTCATAATATTGATTGTTTATATATATCTATATTATATAATAATAACTATGCTCGTTTATAATATGCAATATATCAATCTAGGCCTATCAACCTAGGCTTGTCAGGTTTACTCTAACCTGTCCTAAACATGTCAAACCTAACCCAGCCTATCATAAATTAGTGAAATCCCACCAAGCCTAATCTAACATGAACTAACCCAGATAGACTCACACACAGGTGGACCCTCACACAAATAGACCCACAAACAGATAGACCCACACACAGATAGACTCACAAACATATAGGCCCACACACAGATAGACCCACACACAGATAGACCCACACACAGACCCACAAACAGATAGACCCACAACCAGATAGATCCACACACAGATAGACCCACACACAGATAGACCCACACACAGATAGACCCACTCACAGATAGACCCACAAACAGATAGACCCACACATAGATAGACCTACAAACAGATAGACCCACTCACAGATAGAACCACACACAGATAGACCCCACACACAGACCCACAACCAGGTAGACCCACAACCAGGTAGACCCACACACAGATAGACCCACACACAGATAGACCCACAAACAGATAGACCCACACACAGATAGACCCACAACCAGGTAGACCCACACACAGATAGACCCACAACCAGGTAGACCCACAACCAGGTAGACCCACACACAGATAGACCCACACAGATAGACACACAAACAGATAGACCCACAACCAGATAGCCCCACAAACAGGCAGACAGCCATACAACCCAACAACCAATGCAGATATTGACATAACCTTAACAATAATAGTGAGGATGATGTACTAAGAGAGTGTCCTCACTACAGGATGGTGAAGATGCAGGCGGTGCAGTCGGCCTTGGCCATCCGGCGCCAGAGATCGCGTCGAGAAGACCAGCGCCGGGCGAAGGAACGCCGGGAAAGCCGCGCCTCACTATCCACGCCACGACCCTCCGTCGTTAGCCTCGATGGCCGCGTGTACTTCAACGAGGAGCGGGAAAATAAGCGTCTGTTAGGGCAGGTCACTATGTTTCATGTGGGTTCGGTGTTTATAGTGATCGGCTTGATGCTCACTATCACTTCCCTGGTGCCTGGCTACGTCAGGAGCACCACACCCGAGCGCAGGAGTGATCTGCTCGGAACAGGTTGCTTTTTCGTGTTCCTTGGCGGCGTGTTGACAACAATTAGTCGTTTCGTATCCAATAACGAGGAGAAGGAGCTCAATAAGTACATCAAGGGACGACTTTCGCGCTCGAAGTCCGGCCACAGGCTTGTGCGCGACGCGGAGAGCGGGTTGCCTACTCCAACCCGCGAGCGACGCAACAAGCCGCAGCAGAATGGTTTCACGCCACATTCTCCCGCCAGAGCCGCCAAGATCGCCAGCAAGGCCGAGCCTAAGGAGGAGCCGGCGAGCACACCGTCGCCCTCGGAGGGCGAGGCGGCCTGCAGCTCGCCCGGTACGACGGATACAATCCCCGCCTCGGCCTCCATGGAACCCGTCCTCTCCCGCATTCTGGAGGAGGACGAGAACGACGGGGACACGGCCACGACTGAGCCCATGGACACGACGCCTGAGTCCTCGCTCACACCTACCTCGCCATTGGAGACGCAGGGACTCCTCGAACGCCACCACTCCACCCCCAGGAAGGGCTCCAAGAGCTCCTCCAAGAGCTCCACCAAGAGTTCCAGGCACTCTGGAGTCTAAAATGCATAAGGTCACTCAGCCTTCACTCGGCTGAGCTTCTAAAAAGCTTCACTCGCCCTAAACATAAGCTTTTAAGGGCTTTCTCATCCCTAAGAATATGTACATTACAATATATATATATATAGAATTTATATTCCCATTCAGACTATGTGGGATATTTAAGCAACCTTTCTGAAAGGTTTGTTTAAATGTCCTGAAAGATGTATATAGTTATTCATTTACGGTATGGAAGACCACAGCGACGGCCTGGAATATTTTGGGAAAACTCACAACTTGTTTTTCTGCAAGGTTCATATATATCTTCCTCCAGGAGGCCCTGGAGGTCAACCTTGGCCGAGGTCTTAACGAGACTTCTAATGAAGTCTCGTTTAGGCCTCCAGGTTGGCCTATGTGAGTTATAATTAAAACTTTTTTGGAAGATTTATCTCCTGGGGGCATCTGTGCTCGGACAAGCGTCTCCTAGGGGCGTCTGTCCTCAGACAATTGCCTCCTGGAAGGTATTTGTCCTCGGACAATTGCCTCCTGGAAGATATTTGTCCTCGGACAACTGCCTCCTGGAAGATATTGGTCCTCGGACAATTGCCTCCTGGAAGATATTTGTCCTCGGACAATTGCCTCCTGGAAGATATTTGTCCTCGGACAATTGCCTCCTGGAAGATATTGCCTTGTCTGCGGACAAGTACCTCCTGGAAGATATTTGTCTTCGGACAAGTACCTCCTGGAAGATATTTGTCTTCGGACAAGTACCTCCTGGAAGATATTTGTCTGCGGACAAGTACCTCCTGGAAGTTATTGTCTTCGGACAAGTACCTCCTGGAAGATATTGTCTTCGGACAAGTACCTCCTGGAAGATATTGTCTTCGGACAAGTTCCTCCTGGAAGATATTGTCTTCGGACAAGTACCTCCTGGAAGATATTGTCTTCGGACAAGTACCTCCTGGAAGATATTGTCTTCGGACAAGTACCTCCTGGAAGATATTGTCTTCGGACAAGTACCTCCTGGAAGATATTGTCTTCGGACAAGTACCTCCTGGAAGATATTGTCTTCGGACAAGTACCTCCTGGAAGATATTTGTCTTCGAACAAGTACCTCCTGGAAGATATTTGTCTTCGGACAAGTACCTCCTGGAAGATATTGTCTTCGGACAAGTACCTCCTGGAAGATATTTGTCTTCGAACAAGTACCTCCTGGAAGATATTGTCTTCGGACAAGTACCTCCTGGAAGATATTTGTCTTCGGACAAGTACCTCCTGGAAGATATTGTCTTCGGACAAGTACCTCCTGGAAGATATTTGTCTTCGGACAAGTACCTCCTGGAAGATATTGTCTTCGGACAAGTACCTCCTGGAAGATATTTGTCTTCGGACAAGTACCTCCTGGAAGATATTTGTCTTCGGACAAGTACCTCCTGGAAGATATTTATCTTCGGACAAGTACCTCCTGGAAGATATTTGTCTTCGGACAAGTACCTCCTGGAAGATATTTGTCTTCGGACAAGTACCTCCTGGAAGATATTTGTCTTCGGACAAGTACCTCCTGGAATGTATTTATGCAAGAGCCTCCTGGAAGGTGCTTGCAAGTCTCACCTGTAGGAACATGTCCACGGGAATGTTTCTCGTAGAATATGAGCTTATTTGTTGTCTAGTGAGCAAGAAGCTTTCCCAAGCTTGATGGCCTCGTTAAGGCTGACAATACCTTCTGAAAAGTCTTATAATACACTTAAGCTTTGCAGTTACTTAAATGCCAAAGTTAAATATGACGTTGCTGTCGTGCAGTGACTTAACTTGTATTATTTTTTTTGTGTTTATCTGCTTCTTGTTAAGTGTAAGTGGCAAATTATCTCAAAATATCCCCACTTTTAAGGGTGTGTGTGAGAGAGAGTGAGTGATGCTGGTGCCGGGGGCGACAGGCTCGGTCATGGAGCCTCTGATATTACCCTCTCCAAGGGCGATAGACGACATTAACAGGAATTTGATGAAAAGAACGTGAGTAGCCCCTCACTATGCTCTAGTTGCCCTTGGGAGGTGGTGATCTTTGGGGGTTTTGTAGGGGCGTGACCCCTCTGTAGGGTCGTCCCCTACAGAGGGGGCGAGCATCTTCAGGTGGTGTCTGGGGGCGCCGCCCCTCACCACCACCACACAGGACCTCACTCGGCCCCCAGCTTGAATCAAGAAAGAGTCTGCGCACTCGCCTCTGTGTGTTGAACACTGTGCAGTATTCCATTTTTCTCTTATACAAATAATTGTTTATTTTTGTGTCCATTCTGTGCGATATTTTATATATATTTTTGATAATAATTTACCACATATATTCCGTTAGTCGTAAGATAAGGACCTGAGGATGGTTGTGTCGTGGACCTTAAGACTATGCTCTGTCATACTCGTCTGTCTTTACCAAGTAACGTCATACTTCAACCTTTCTTCCTTCCTATCAAGATGCCAACATCTTAATGTTTGTACACAAACAGCCCTTTGACCAGAGGACATTAATGCAGTATTAGAAGGTAAAATACGATAAAAAACAGCCATTTTGAGAAATCATATGACAAAACTTAAAATAACAACAATAATATCGCATTTAATTGTTATTTAATGAAGTGTTGGGTGGCATTTAGAGTTACTTCTCGTGCTCCTTCATCTCCCTCCTGCAGCATCACTCCTCCAGAGGAGTCTCTGTGTCTCCGTGCACCGGAAGGGGGTCTCAGCCCTCAGTCTTCACTGCTCCTTGAGTCATAAAGTCACTACCGACGGCTGTTACTGTCAGCGCCACGAGCCCAGTGATTTAATGTTTCCCCCCACACCAGCTTATGCAAGTTTGAGTGCCAATATAGTTCAATTCCTTGTCCTCCCCCCCTCCTCTTTCTCCCTGAATGTGTTTAGTCCAAGATAAAGAATGGCAGGACTTACAGTCGACGCTGTAACCAAGACCAAGTATTACATAGGTTAAAGCCAAATTATGTATTTATATATTTTGTATAAACAGTTGGTTAGTTTGGGGGTCGCCACCAGTATTGGGGGTCAGCCTGGGGATCGCCACCAGTCTGGGGTCAGCCTGGGGGTCACCTCCAGTCTGGGGTCAGCCATAGGGTCACCTCCAGTCTGGGGTCAGCCATAGGGTCACCAATAGGCTAAGGGTCACCACCAGCCTGGGGGGTCAGCCAGGGGTCGCCACCAGCCTGGAGGGGTCAGCCAGGGGGTCACCACCAGCTTGGGGGTCAGCCTGGGGTCACCACCAGCCTGCCATTAATCTCTGGCACCATTTATACATTTGTATATGAAATTTCCTTGATTTTTTACAAAACATTTACAGGTTCAGTAAATTGTTAATTTCAAGATATGTAAATAATTTTAACGAATGGCCAATTATTACGCTTATATTGCTGTCTTTAAATGTGATTTGGGAATCATTTTAATACATTTAATCCTCTCACTAAACTATGATTAAGAACTTGAGCTACGTTCAGTACCAGGAAGTTCATATGTTCATCCAAATGGAACTCACTGTTTGCTCCATTTAGTGACCTGTGTGTTCATTTGTTCAACTAAGTATATCTTGACTCGTTTGCTAGAAGACTCTGCTACAAGTTCTTCTCCAGTAACTTAGAAATCTTAGAAGTCCTTTTTACCAAACAAGAATTTGTAAAAACTCCATTTTTTCATGGAATTCAAGATTCATACTTTGTAATGTTTAGTGGATAGATTCCATTTATAACTTACGGAAGATATATATATATATATATATATATATATATATATATATATATATATATATATATATATATATATATATATATATATCAGAAAGGACTACTCTCGTAAAAGGTTCATACCTAGACCGACAGGAACACTGAAACTCCTTGACAAGTCCAATACTCTGTATATATATATATATATATATATATATATATATATATATATATATATATATATATATATATATATATATATATATATATATATATATATATATATATATATATATATATATATATAAATTACAAATTTTGTACAGATTTCAGCAGCTCTTGATGTGCATTATATACCTCGGTCCCTCCCTGTTCTCAGCCGTTGTCGTGTTCCTGTTGTAACGGTACCGTTTCTCCTCTCGAACTTTGGTCACCAACGTCAGCAAGACTACACTTTCGCCTTAGTCCACCCAACTGGTTTAAGTTAGGTTAAGTTAGTCATGAAAGGCTACAGTAGGTGAGATTAAATTAGGGTAAGTTGGCTAGGTTACATTACATAAAGTTACGTTATGTTAGCTTAGGTTAGGTTACAGAATGGTAGGTTATGATAGATTGTCTTCGGCTAGATTGGATTAAGTTAGGTTTTGTTCGATTATGTTAGGTTAGGTTATGTTAGGCTAGATAACAGGAGTCAAGGGGATAGGAGGGGTGTCTGGGGCCAGCCTCAGGGTGGTTAGGGGGGAAGGGTATTTACCCTAATGGCCCCATTATGGCACTGGCGTCAGGGATATGTGTGTGTGTTTGCCTTTCCATGTTGAGAATAGTGAAAGGTCGGTGCCTCTGATTTGTGTATTCTAAACCTCTGTCACTCTAGGGTAGATTTAGGTGAATTTGGTTTAGGATTTTGGTGGTAAATGGCCAAAAATTAAGTTTAGATTGGGTTAGATTAGTCTTGGATTATCTCCCTACAGGTGCCATAGGCATTGATTGGGGGAGCCAATTTCCCAACATTGTGGCTTAGAATGGGTAAGTATAGTCCTGGTTTAAATTGGCCCATGAAGGGTGTGTGTGTGTGTGTGTGTGTGTGTGTGTGTGTGTGTGTGTGTGTGTGTGTGTGTGTGTGTGTGTGTGTGTGTGTGTGCGCATGTGCGTGTGCGTGTGCAGGTGGCCAAATTTTGACAGGATTCCCAAGTGGAACAGGATCAGCGCCTCATATTTCTGCCTTCCATGTTCTTTGTATACAAAAGCTTAACATTTAAGTCTAGGCACAATATTAGCCATTTTCTATGACATCTTTTATCTGTACTTCGTCACAAGCTTGTATGGAACATCCTCAATACATAGACCTTATCATACAGCGTTCTGGATGTTCTTTAAGTTCATCAAAAATACTTTCTCTAGCGTCGTAAGTGACTTCACTTTAAAACTTCCCGAGTGTCTTGACGTCATCCTTCAATTTCTAATTGTCCTATCTGGACTTCATTTCGCAAAAACCTAGGTGTCTTAACTAACCTTCTCACACTCCTACTTGGCTAGTTCTCATCTTGTAACAGCCTAGTTATTTGCACTTTATCTATCAACGTCCTAGTTCTGTGGACTTCATCAAGTAATGTCCAAGATGTTTGGACTTCATCAAGTAATGTCCAAGATGTTTGGACTTCATCTGGCAACGTCTTAGGTGCCTGGACTTCAGCTAGCAACGTCCTAGGAGTTGGCCAAACCACA